GGGGCGGGGCCGGGGCCCCATGGAGTGTTCTCTTTTTTCAATGTTCAAATATGGTAACCCTAGTAACTAATGATGTATACGAGCGAGTCCCAGAATAAGTTGTAGCTTTCATTTGATCAGATGGACTCAAGGTGTTATTTGTGCTCTCTCCCTTTGAGGGAAGGGGAACATAACAGCAGGGAGAGGATGGCTGAGGCCTTCTCTCTAATCTATGTGAGGCCCTGTGAATAAGAATATTTAAGTCCCTTGTCCATTCACACTGTCTGTGTCTAGATTCTAAAAAGGGTACTTTTTGTAGAGTGACTTTGAAATTGCCTCCCTTCCCTCAGTTAAGCAGAATCTGGGGAAAGCTCTTTAACAGAAATTTGGCTCAGCAGAGCTCATCTGATGAGTTTTCCACTTCTAGGCCAGTTGTTCGGCACAGTCTAAAACTTCTTTTCATCTGATAGCTGTTCAGTGGTTTCTCTAGATTAAGTTATTGCTTTCACTCTGGTTCCTAGTGAATGCAGGTGCCCATGTGATGATTGGTACCAAGTGGCACTATTGATATTCTCAGCAGAAAAGCTAAGTGTTGATTGGGGATGGTGGCTGAACTGACTTGTCATTCCTACAGGTGGTCTTTCAAAGATAGGGTTGAGGCACATAGCTGAGGAAGCACAGGGGACACTTGCTGGTGTCTATGGGGAAACTGTTTTGTAGATTGAGAGCGCACCTTTCACCCTACAGGCTGTCACTCTTTACAAGCGCTAAATTCTTTTGCAGAACTTTTTTTTTAAAGTTTTAAGGCTTATAATTCATTGTTATAAAAGGATTTGTAGCTAAAACCTGGTTACACTTTAAAGCCTGAAGCCTCGGCATTTATAAAAGTTGCAGATTGTTTTTATTTATTCAGCACTAGGTGCTTTATAGACCAAAAAATGGCAGCTTTCTACCACAAGAAGCTTACAATAACAGACAATAAAACATTAGACAATCAAAGGATGACAATAAGGACACAGGTAGTGGGAGGAGGAGAACAATGTGTACAGCATGAAAGGTCATGACATAACATTTACTGCTATGTATGTAACTTGTCAGGAGGGGTTTCAAGTAGGAGACTTTAAATTACTGGTATATGTTGCACAGGATCCTGGTGATTGTTCCAGGCATAAGGGAGTGACAGTGAGGAGTCAAAAATCTGCCAAAAGGTTCCACATTTAAAAAATGGCCAACATGGTTCTCTTCTTATCCATGCATTAAGCCCTGGAAAGTTATATGGAGGTGGCGAGCTCATTCAAAGGAGATATTTCTTTTTGCAAGAAGTAATACCCAGCTTGGTTGAAATTTATACTTACTGGAATACCCATTATGCCAGGTTCACCAGTGGGGCCTGTAATTCCTGGAATTCCGGTTTCTCCTTTTTCACCATCCTCTCCTGGAAGCCCTTGGTCTCCAGGGATCCCCTAAAATACAGCAGAAGAATAAATCAAGCCTGAAAAGAATTAAACTGTTATACTGAACCATGTTACACAAGAATTCTCTGCTTATTTTTGGCCCTGATCTAAAGCCAATGGGGTCTTTCCACTGACTTCCAAAAGGTTTTTGGATCACGCCCCCAGTTAGGGTGAAATGATTTTTATCCAGTTCAAATTGCCCTCATAATGCCAGATTTTTGCCTGAGTCCTATGCAACAGCACAATTCTTTGGAGGCCTCACAAAAACTTCCTTCCTTCGTGTCCCTTGCACAGGGGCCTAGTATAGTCTCGGTCCTTGTACTCCTTTGAAAGCAAGGACTGCGAGTGGCTTAGCACTTGCCCACTTTTGGTTGGCTATGTAAAGAATCACATGTTGCACCCTCTTAAGGGTCACAGTCACTGAGCTCCTCCAAGCACTGGGGTTGTGGCAGGAAGCATTGTGCCTCCCTGAGTGCCCTTTTCCAGATTTCTTACTGGGCTGGTCCATAAATAGTAAGGCAATAGCTTTTACAATCCTTAGTTATTTTACATTAAGTGCATCATTGGGCTTGTGAAATACAGATAAGAAAAACTGGACTTAGGTAGGTAAGTTCTTAACTAGGTAAGTAAAACCAGGAATATTTCACACCTATTATGAAAAATGAAGATTACCTTTGAGCCATCTTTCCCTTGTACACCATCTTCTCCTGGGGATCCTGGTTCACCCTAATTTTGAGAAGAAATAAAACAAAGTTACTGCCACTTCCCAAATATCTGAAGGAGCTCTCTTTGTTGGGACAGAGTTGCCTGTGAAGAACTTGTGATGTTTAGCATTACATGCATTTTCAAACTGAAATCAGATTTTTGTAGACAGATTTTTTGTTGCTGGGATTTTTTTCTTGTCTTCATTAGAACGTAAGAATGGCCATAATGGGTCAGACCAATGGTCCATCTATCCCAGTATCCTGTGTTCTGACAGTGGCAGGTACCAGATGCTTCAGAAGGAATGAACAGAGCAGGGCAATAACTAAGTGATCCACCTATCATCCAGTCCCAGCTTCTTGCAGTCAGAGGTTTAGTGACATCCAGAGCATGGGGTTACGTCCCTGACCTTCTTGGCTATTAGCCATTGATGGACTTATGCTCCATGAAATTATTTAATTCTTTTTTGAACCCAGTTATACTTTTGATCTTCACAACATCCCCTGGCAAGTAGTTCCCCAGGTTGACTGTGTGTTGTGTGAAGAACTTCCTTTATGTCTGTTTTAAACCCACTGCCTATTAATTTAATTGCTTGATCCCTAGTTCTTGTGTTATATAACGGGGTAAATAACACTTCTTTATTCACTTTCTCCATCCCATTCATGATTTTATAGACCTATCATATCCCCCTTAGTCTTCTACTTTCTAAGCTGCGCAGTCCCAATCCTTTTCTCTATCTCCTTGTATGGAAGCTGTTCCATATTTCTAATAATTTTTGTTACCCTTCTCTGTACTTTTTCAAATTCTAATAGTTTTTTTGAGATGGGGCAACCAGAACTGCATGCAATATTCCAGGTGTAGGTGTACCATGGATTTATATAGTGGGTTTATAATATTTTCTGTCTTATTGTCTATTCCTTTCCCTAATGGTTCCTAATATTGTGCTTTTTTGACTGCCACTGCCCATTCAGCAGATGTTTTCAGAGAACTAGCCACAATGACTCCAAGATCTCTTTCTTGAGTGGTAACAACTAATTCAGTTGTTCATTACCTTAGGGCAGTGGTCCCCAACCTTTTTCGTCTGGTGGGCACCAGACGATGAGTCACGGAGGACCATGGCGGCGGACAAGCATCCCCCGAAATGCCGCTGACAAGCAGCGTCATCCAGAGGCGGCATTTCAGTGGCGATGCCTCTGGATGACGCTGGTTCTCAGCGGCATTTCAGCGGATGCTCGTCCGCTGGCGAGTACGCGGGTGCACTTAGACGCCCCGGCGGGCGCCATGGCGCCCATGGGCACCGCATTGGGGACTCCTGCCTTAGGGAATAAAACTCAGAGGCCTGTAAATATGAAATGCAGTAAGGTATAGGTCAGGACTCCTACAGTTACAACACTCTGAAATTTCAGATTCAAATATTTGAAATTATGAAATTTATGATTTTTAAAATCTTATGACCATGAAATTAACCAAAATGGACCATGAATTTGGTAGGTCCCCATTAATGGCTCATCTATATCACTCAAGATCAGCACTGTCCATGAAAAAATCATCATTTACCAACAGTTACAACACCAAGGTATTTTAGGTTCTGCAATATTTGTCTTTATTAGGGTCTGATCCTGAGAGAAACTGAGCACTCATAACTTTGCTTTCACAGCAAATTGCAGGTGTACTGCACCATAGGAAATAACTTTGTGGTATCTGTAATACAGTGGTGTGATAAGTGTTGACTTTTTAATGCTGAGTTTATTTTTCTCCAAGGATTAGCAGAATCTTGGAACCTACTTCAATTAGGATTCTCTAAAGGAAGAAAAGGGGGTGTTGAGGAATTGATGCAATGTACAATTACATTCTAAAGCTGAAGTTAGAAAGGGTCTTGCTTTATTCTTGTCAAAACTTTCTAGAGAAAATAATTTCAAACCAACCCGATAACTTTCTTTGACAGGGTAACAAGCCTTGTGGATAGGGGAGGAGTGGTAGATGTGGTATATCTTCACTTTAATAAAGCTTTTGATACTGTCTTGCATGACCTCCTCATAAACAAACTAGGGAAATGCAACCTAGATGGAACTACTATAAGGTGGATGCAAAAGCGGTTGGAAAACCGTTCCCAAAGAGTAGTTATCAGTGGTTCTCAGTCATGCTGGAAGGGCATAACGAGTGGGATCCAGCACGGATCAGTTCTGGATCCGGTTCTGTTCAATATCTTCATCAATGATTTAGATAATGGCATAGTGAGTACACGTATAGTTTGCAGATGATACCAAGCTGGGAGGGGTTGCAAGTACTTTGGAGGATAGGATTAAAATTCAAAATGATCTGGACAAACTGGAGAAATGGTCTGAAGTAAACAGGATGAAATTCAATAAGGGCAAATGCAAAGTATTCCTCTTAGGAAGGAACAATCAGTTGCACACATACAAAATGGGAAATGACTGCCTAGGAAGGAGTACTGCGGAAAGGGATCTGGGGGTCATAGTGGATCACAAGCTAAATGAGTCAACAGTGTAACACTGTTGCAAAAAAAGCGAACATCCTTCTGGGATGTATTAGCAGGAGTGTTGTAAGCAAGACATGAGAAGTCATTCTTCTGCTGTACTCTGCGCTGATTAGGCCTCAACTGGAGTATTGTGTCCAGTTCTGGATGCCACATTTCAGGAAGGATGTGGACAAATTGGAGAGAATCCAGAGAAGAGCGACAAAAATGATGAAAGGTCTAGAAAACATGACCTCTGAGGGAAGACTGAAAAAATTGGGGTTGTTTAGTCTGGAAAAGAGAAGACTGAGCGGGGACATGATAACAGTTTTCAAGTACATAAAAGGTTGTTACAAGGAGGAGGGAGAAAAATTGTTTTTCTTAATCTCTGTGGATAGGACAAGAAGCAATGGGCTTAAATTGCAGCAAGGGCGGTTTAGGTTGGACATTAGGAAAAACTTCCTAACTGTCAAGGTGGTTAAGCACTGGAACAAATTGCCTAGAGAGGTTGTGGAATCTCCATCATTGGAGATTTTTAAGAGCAGGTTGGACAAACACCTGTCAGGGATGGTCTAGATAATACTTAGTCCTGCCATGAGTGCAGGGGACTGGACTAGATGACCTCTCAAGGTCCCTTCTAGTACTATGATTATCATAGTCAAAGAATTTTTACAAACATTCAACACCCCTCAAAAGTTGGTAAGCTCAAGCTGATGGGGAATCTGAGGCGCAGACAGGTTAAGTGACTTGGCAAGTGTGTCAATATCAGAGCTAGGCTTAGAACTCAGGAGTTCCTGTCTCCCAATCCTTTGCTTAGACCACCTCACTCTCAGTGACATCAGATACTACATGGATATATTTTAAAAAATCCAGTCTTTACTCATTTTAATTAAAATGCTTAGAGAAAATCATGTACTTAACCTTATTGTTATTTCCACAAATTAAACCCACTCTCACATATGTTAGTATTATAATTTATGCTTTTTTAATTAACCTGTTACAGTGTTGCCAATATTATTTTTAAATGGATCAAAGACATTTTATTCAATTTCTCTCACAGAGAGGTAATTAGACTTGACATTTCTGAAATTCAAAACATTGTCCTTTTTGGAAATAAAATAATATTTTTCACCAACCCTTAAACCTTGTTCTCCTGTTTCTCCAGCACTGCCAGCAGGTCCGATGTCTCCCTGGAATATGCAATATGAAAATTAAACTATTGAACTGCTGGGAACAAATTGTCTCTAATGAGAATTACTGATGATGTTGAGTATTCTTTGACATTTTCTTTATTATTGCTTAATTGCCTAATAAGCTAAATCAACAGAGACTTGATTTCCTTTTACTTAATTCAGCGAAGAATTTATGCAACATAGACGAAAACAATCCCACCATCTACCTTTGCACCTGGTTCTCCTTGCAGACCAGGCTCTCCCTCAGGGCCAGGAGGTCCCTATATGATACAGAAGCTACTGTTACACATTATCACCAAGAATGGTTTCATAGCTATCAAATAAAACAGTAAAGATCCAAACACAAAAACTGTGATGCAGAAGGACTGAAAAATAAAAGCAAGTTGTGTTCTTTGGCCTAGCCTGAGACATGCAGTATTAATGGAGAATGCAGTGTGGCAGAGGTTCAGGAATACACCACAGACTCAACAGAATCATTAATCTCGTATCTTTCATAATGAAACACATGTAGTATAAGCACAACTCTGCATTTTGCAACCTTGTTCCCAGACCCCGACTTACAATTCCAGCAGCTTTTAAACCACTAGCCAAATGCATGCTTAGGAGGATCTATGTGTAGGTCCACAACCTACAGAGTTATTGGCACCTGCTTGTTTCTTTCAGAGTTTAAATTTTAATAGTAATAAAAATAATAATAATACAAAATAGATCAGAAGGGCATGGTCATGGGTGTTTGGCAAAGAGCATTTCTTTTGAATGAGCCAAATGTAATTATTTGTGAATGAGCTCACGCCTCAGCTACTCCATTGCAAATGTGATTAACAGCTCCTCTCATGTTTCTTTCAAAGAGATATTAATAAAACCAAAACCAACCCCCCCAAACAAGACCACAAGCAAAGTAGAGAACTGCATGCAGCTGCTTTTTCATCCATCACTGGCAAGGGACATAATGACTTGAAGAGTAGTTATCCATGGTTTGCTGTGAAACTGGGACGCTGTATTTTGTGGGGTCTCTCAGTGGTCTGTCCTGGGTGCACTACTATTCACTAATTTTCACTAATGACTTAGAGAATGGAGTGGAGAGTATACTGATAAAACTTGTGGGGACAGCCGGCTGAGAGGGATTACAAGCACTTTGGAGGGCAGAATTAGAATTCAAAATGACCTTGATAAATTGGAAAGTTGGTCTGAAATCTAAAAGAGGAAATTCAATAAAGACAAGTGCGAAGTACTACACTTAGAAAAGAAAAATCAAATGCACAAATACAAAATGGGGAATAACTGGCTAGGCAACAGTACTGAATCACAAATTGATTATGAGCCAATAATGTGACAGTTGCAAAAAAGTCGTTATTTTTCTGGGGTGTATTAATAGGAGTATGATATGTAAGACACAGAAAGTAACAGTTCCACTGTACTCAGCACTGGTGAGGCCTCAGCTGGAGTGCTATGATCAGTTTTGGGCGCCATATTTTATGACATGGACAATGTGAGAGAGGCTAGAGGAGAGCAACAAAAAAGGTTTAGAAAACCTGATCTGTGAGGGAAAGTGAAAAAAACTCGGCATATTTAGAATTGAGAAAAGATGACTAAGGAGGCCTTGATAACGGTCTTCAAATATATTAAGGGCTGTTATAATGAGGATGCTGATCAACTGTTCTCCATGTCCACTGAAGGTTGGAGAAGAAGTAATGGGATTAATCTGCAGTGAGAGAGATTTAGTTTAGATATTCTGAAAAGCTTTCTAACTACACCTCTACCTCGATATAATGCTGTCCTCGGGAGCCAAAAAATCTTAGCGTGTTATAGGTGAAACCGCGTTATATCGAACTTGCTTTGATCCACCGGAGTGCGCAGCCCTGTCGTCCCCCCCCCCCGGAACACTGCTTTATCACGTTATATCCGAATTTGTGTTATATTGGGTTGTGTTATGTCGGGGTAGAGGTGTATAAGGATACTTAAACACTTGGAACAGGTTACCAAGGGAGGATGTGGCATCCCTGTTATTGGAGGTTTTAAAGAACAGGTTAGACGAACATCTGTCAGTGATGATCTAGGTGTACCTGGTCCTGCCTCAGCATGGGGGGGGGATGGACTAAATGTTCTCTTGGAGTCCCTTTCAGCCCTTAAGATTCTAGTTGCAAACCTCCAGCCCTGGATAGGTGTAAACTGATGAACTGCAAAGGGAATGGTGTTGCTTCTGGAAAAGTGCTGCACTCAATAAATGTACCATTGTCCTTCCAGATGAAGATACCCTGAGATCAGGTTTGCAGAAGCCACTGGCATCATTACATCCTTTTTTTCTTTCAAATTATTGTTTGCAACAGCCATAAGCAATGGGGAATCTCTTAATTACACATGATATTCAAGTTCACTGTAGGTAACTAAATATAGTTTTTGAATACGTTATTAAGGTACATTCTGTGGCTTAAGTTTCTGTTGGAATTTATTATAAATAAATAAAGACAAAGCATAAAAAACTCACCTCAAAACCCATTTCTCCTGCAGGGCCAGCATCACCTTTTTGTCCTCTTGGGCCCTAGCATTAAACAAAATCTTCTGTATATATAATTCAGTTATATTTAGGCAATACATAATATTAACTGTATAATATAATACAATACACTATATGAATGTATCATGTTTAACTGCCAGCTGGCATAATCAAGTATATCTTATTTTGCTTCATCATTGTGTTTCTTTCCAAATTCTGTGACTGATGTTTGTCCCTGTAAGGGCACATTGTTACCAGCAGTGAAGACTTCATTGCCTCTCTTGACATAGAAGGACAGCACTGGTCTCTCTTCTCTTGAACCAGAAGTAAATTCTAATCTAAACTATATTCTTCTCTTGATTAATGGAGACTTTGTTTAATTAAGACTTATTTAATACTTCGTCTGGTTTGTTTTGTAGAAATGCCTACAGTCTGCTATGGAATTAACTGAAAACAACTACTGTATGTTTCATTTTATGGATTTAACAATGTTTACACAGGACAGTCACTGAGGTGTAAGGGACTGCCGACTGGAGCCTTTTTGGCAGTTTCAGTAAGTAACTATGCTATGAAGCAGTGTTCTTGTAAGCCAATATACTGTAAGCAAAGACACTAACATCTAAGGGATGCATTTCTAAAGCAGTGTGCGTGATCTATGTGTACAAGTCCGGTTATCCATATTCTGTAACAGTGAGATTTGTGTGCCTAACTTTCAATTAGAGTTAGATTCTACAAAAAGAACAGGAGTACTTGTGGCACCTTAGAGACTAACAAATTTATTAGAGCATAAGCTTTCGTGGGCTACAGCCCACTTCTTCGGATGCATATAGAGTGGAACATATATTGAGGATATATATATACATACATACAGAGTGCATGAACAGGTGGGAGTTGTATTACCAGGTGTGAGAAGCCAATCAAGTAAGAGAAAAAAACTTTTA